TGAACTTTTACATTTTCTATTAAAATATTCCATAACAAGGTTAACGTAGTCAATAATATGACATTAAGGCTGATGTCGTCATAAAAATAGTTCACCAGACTTAAAACATATCATTCTCTTAGCGAGCAAAATGAATATTATGAAATGACATATTATCTGAAGTTCATAAATGTACAGGTATATATATATACCTAGGTCATCCGGAGTTTAATTTCTCTTTTACTAGCTGTAAAGAGGCTTACTAATCTCAAAATAAGATAGATGTTTCCATTTCCATGCGAAACGACTAAAATCATGGTAAAATTCCGTTAATATATTTTGGCAGATTATAAACAAGAAAACAAACGCTACATTACCTAAATCGATAAATGAACTTTAGAGGATACCTGCGTATGTGCCATTTGCACTAGACAAGTTATAAACATTGAAACTGAGAAGTGATTTAATGTTTATAACACGTATACCTTTTCTATAACATCATTAAATGTTACGAAAGCACACTTTGTATAAAGTTTATGTGTTCATAATGGGGCCCTTGATTGGTTTTACATACTGTTTATACACCGGTTAAATGTAACTCAGGTATTTTACTATCACCTATATTCAATCTGTACTCTTGAGGCCGTCATGCCCCTCCACAGCTAGTTAATGAGAAACAAGCTCTGCATGACCTAGGTGTATAATTGGAACTTAATGTTATATGTCATTTCGAAGCATTCAGTTGGGCTTCAAAAGAGATTGACATGTTACAAGTCTGATTAACTATTTTGATGAAAACGTCAACCTTAATGTCTTTTTATTGACTATGCTAACCTCGCTATGGACAATTTAACAGCTAATGTACAAGTCCAATATATTCAAATTATGTATATTGGTTCCAATTTTTAATTGCGGTCTAATTTGAATATGACCAATCATGAGATTGAAATTTTGGGTGACTTTAGCCTCTTTTAGGGGGCTTGGTAAACCTTAAACTTAAATTGCCCATTTGTGCACTGTATGTGAAGACGGTGTGGGCACGATGTAATTTGGGTGAATTTTGTGATCAGACTGATCCCACATTATATGGATTTTTTTCGGCAACAATGGTTACATTCATTGTTCTAGAAATTAACTGGCATTCCAACATATAGATTGAAATATAAAAACGCAGCTCACAACACAATCATATATTTATTCCAATATTTTCAACGAAAGAGTTTGTAAAACCTATCATGGTCTAGGACCTGGCCCTTTACAAGGGACATGTATAGTTTGACAGTGTCATCTTTTGTAAGCAACGGCACTATGTTGTCATCAGTATAGGCTGTTTCTAACAAGGGCACAATATCTTTGGCATCCAGATATATATCCTTTCTCTTCCCCCTAAAAGTAAGATGCGATACTTTCACTCTCTGTTTCTTGTCATTGACTCGGAGAACTCCAACAAATCTAGATACATAGTGACTGAAAACGGTAATACCTATGGTAGCCGATATTGTTAAAGTAAATCCTGCGAGATAAATAATCGGGTTCGAATCCGGAGACTGGAACGTTGAACAACCATACGCAACGTCAGCTATGGCAAAAACATACAACACTGACTTCATCTTCGATATAAATGCCAAAGTTCCAATATCAGGATGCTTATATATTGTTTTGAATTCCTGATCTTCATCGTTATGTGACAATGCCTGACTACTGTTGTTAAAAAGTGACATAGAATGTGTTCCAGTTGAAAAGTACCTTGCATGCGGCAGAAAACTTTCTGTAAAGAATTTCCTCTCCTTTGGTACGACACATATTTTTGAGTCGACACCTGAAGATAAGTTTGAGTGGGAAACCCTGTATGAGGCAATCTTCCGTGACATCAGCAAACACACATTTCTGTACGAGCAGCAGGAAATAGTCCTTGAACACAGCATCATGACCAAATGTATATATATAATGTGTGGTTCTTCATAAAAAATGGCTTGTCCTGTAGAATGAAGAATAATTTAGATTAGATATTTTATATTTGACAAATGTATATTTGACAATGCTTGATACAAGGGTTGGTCGCAGGCACCACTGTAACAGGAGAGGAAAATGCACGGCCAGACCGGGTACAAACCAGGGACCCTCTGAACTCTAGATGGACACTCTACCTATTGATGATCTACCTGGTTGTCAACAACTGACCCAGTCCAGTCCGCTAAACAATGTAATATTTGAGCACAGACTTGTATAGATCTAACCTCATATGTATAAATAAAAAAAAAATCATTAAAAAAATCACTCATCTGTACGGTAATCTTTTTATTATCATCTGTTTCTAAATCTAGACATTATCTTCAGCGTTTGATATTGATATTTGTAATATGAAAGTTTATTTCACTCAATTCCCCATTTCATTAATTAAATTGCTTCTTCTTAAAAACAGTAATTGTTACCCAAATGAAGGAGTATCCCGTACTACGAGGGCTTGTGCAGAATCTTTTATTTAAAATGACCTGTTAGTGTCACCACTGGCACTAACAGTGTATCTGGTGTTTCTGATATATAAGTATGCCATATCTTGTCTTGTACTTGAAATTCCCTCCTATAGTAAGAGCGCCCCTAGCTGGAATGCCAGGGTAGGTTACACTTATCTTTTCATACTGATGTGATTGGATCAGCTGTACAGTATTAGTAGCGATAATGTACAGATGATCCACTCGTATAACATACCATAATGGTAGGGTATGCAGACAATTTTATATACAGTGTATATATTATACATTATTAATTGCGTGTCCCTGGTACATGTAAGTGCTGTGGGCAAGGTGACATCACATGTACCAGGGACAGCTGGCAACTAATAATGTTGATTTTGTCAGACTTTCGATCGCTGGATACGTAATAGGATATACGTATCCATCAACTGAAAGTCGAACAAAACCAATACACTGTACAAAACAACGCACTTCAGCACAAGACCCAAAAAACCATAATCGTCGTTATTGACAGAGGAAGGATTAAATATGAATAATAGTATCAGTAGTTGCGTGCCCCTGTGCCTGGTCGTCGATTCGCAAATGCTAGTCGTTTTGGTAACAGGTCGTTTCAGTAACAAGTCGTTTTGGGAGTCCAGAAAAGGTTTCCAGACCTGCATGCGCAAGTCGTTTGGGATATACAAAATGTTCACTTACAAGTTACATTTCGCTCCCGTTTCATATAAAGTCTGATTTTAGTCCGTGACCTGTGTCACGACCAACCCTTATTACTAATATTAATACCAGGCCTCCTTAGCCTGCCCTGGCTGACGACGCAATATATAGAAACTAGAAAAGTGTTCTATAAAAAGTTACAACCACTTTGATCTTGATACCCTGAAACATGCACACACACATGGTACTACACTTAAAGTTGATTTTAATATTCATATGTTTTTTCTGTATGTTATTACCATCTCCATAACATATTGAATGAAGTTGCTAAGCGTTTAAATTGAATCAGTAGATGATTTTCTATATATAGCAACAGTTACCTTGGCTTTGACCTTGGAACCCTGAAACACAACAATGTCCAAAGTATACTCATATACTTGACCTTTGCATAAAGTTTGACCAAAATCCATGAAAGAATGAAGTTGCTAATTAAGTGTTTAAATTGAATCAGTTGATGATTTTCTATATATATATATCAAGTGTGACCTTGGCCTTGACCTTGGATCCCTGAAATACAACGATGTCCGAAGCATACTTGACCTTTGTATAAATTTTGACCAAAATCTGTCAGAGAATGAAGTTGCTAAGTATTTACATTGAATCGGTGGGGGCATAAAAATGCCTTATTGTATGAAGCTACGTTATCGAAACTAGACCTACCGGTGCTCGAGATAATTAATGTTTCCAGATTGCTAATGCTTGAGGGGATACCAACTGACATTTACCTGATTGACAGTATGGTGTTCCCTGGTGAACTTTATCTCATTATTAAATAATTTAGCCAAATTAGTGGTTATTAGCTGCAAAGAAGTGGTTCTCTCCCCAATTTCACTGGTAATCTAAATGTACATATAGACTTAATACTTATATTCTGGAATATAAAGTTGCTGATTTTTCTGACTTATATCACTTATTTTGTGGTGGAAAATTGCCTTTTTTTAATTGAAAGAAACCTAGAAGTTTCCTTTAATTGAACTGTTAAGCGTCAACATCATCAGTGGCTGGTGGAAACTATTGGTGTTGATAATTCCTTTTGCGATTTATGGTAATGCCATATCTGATGTTATAAATAACTCGTAACAACGTTTTTTATAGTTCATCCTTGATGCGATGCGAGTGTTATCAACACATTAACATAAATTAATTGACTTAAATATATTTACATTATTTGTTAGAAGTTTCATTCATAAGAAAAAAAGAAAAAAGAAAGGCTATATACATTGTGTATCATATCAGTTTATTATGACGTTATTCCATATGGTTACCATAATGCCATGTTCAATGTTTCTATAAGTGATAACACTGCTAAAACAATGTCATGTATAAAATAACCTCTTCTATCTGAAGAACTTCGGGGCCTCAGCCTGGCATCCGATGGCGTCGAGTGGTATATAGGTTATACGAGTAACTTTGAATTCCCTTGCATTGCAAGGAGTATAAGAGCCTCAGGATTGCTGCATTACAATACTGTACTTAAATTTGCATTTATACAATTAACTTAAAGTTTTTAATTAGGTAATGGTACAGTGTATTTTCTATGAACAGGGACAATATGAATAATATTCCAAAACGACTTTTGACATGTCCCGGAACGACCCGGAAAAAGTCCCGATACGACCTGACACCTTACCGCAAGACGGCCAAACCCTGCTGTCTACTCCTAGGATAAAAATGGACATGTACCACATGATGTGGGGATCCGTTTTACATTTCAGAAATTGTTAAAAATCGAGAGGAATCTGGAAATTAACCCCTTATGGAAATATACGGAAGCACCAACAAACTCAGGAGACTCGGCAACTTTCGGGAGGTATCACAGGCTACTTACCAAAGTGTCAGTGTCCAGTTTCCAATCGCATGTGTGATTGTCAGTTGAACTTCCGGTAAAGGGAGATAAGTGTCCGATACCCTTATGGCACAACAAAACAACATAGCTATTTCCCTCACAGATATCGAAGAAGCAAGGAAACGCATACAAGGGCAAGTAAAAGAAAGTCCACTGATACATCTGAATTACAAAATACCTGATGCGAAGGTAGGTGACAACTTCTGTTTATTAATCTTGCACCAGCTGATCACAAGCACAGTAAATATGGCCTCTTGTCAGTCTTGACAGAAGAAGTTGTTCAAAGAGTTTTTTTTTTATTTATTTATTTGACGACTGTGTCCTTGACAGTAGGTCAAGATAATTTACTGAATGAAACTCTATCCCATGCACATACAGGCCAAATATCACTACTCAACACATACTGGTTATTCTGAAAAAGTTGTTAAAGGTTTTTATAACATTTTACCCTGGTGGTTTTGAAAGTAGGTCAAGGTCATTGGTTTGAAAAAAAATCATGCCAGGTATCCACTTGCCATTGTCACCACCCTTAGCGTCCTGGTTATTCAGAAGAAGTGTATATTTAAAGATATTTATATATTTAACCACTATTGCCTTGAAAGTAGGTCAAGGTCATTTATTTGAATTACTGTTATGCAAAGTATATATGACTGGTCAAATATCATCACCCTTTTTCTTCTCCTTCTTCCAATAATCTGCATACCACCTAGCTCTGGTGTGTTGTGTACTGTTGACCTCCTTGTTATTGAGAAGAAGTGCAGTTTAAAGAATTTTAAATATTGGACCACTGGTTGTGGCCTTCTAAGTAGGTCAATGTCATTTATTGAAGGAAACTCTTTATCACTCTATCCCAGGTACTTTTCTGGCCAAATATCGCTACTCTAGGCCTTTTAGTTAATCAGAAGAAGTTGTTCAAAGAAATAGTTGACAAATGACAGACGACACATCATACCATTTTAATATGGCATTAAGCTCACAGGCACCTGATACCTGGTGAGCTGAAAAGTTAAGTTCTTACTGTATTGCTATTCATTGATATTGCATTTGTGTATTCAACAGATTTATCTGAAATGTGAAAATCTTCAACCAATTGGTTCATTCAAATTACGTGGAGCTTGCAATGCATTGGGAAAACTGTCAGATGACCAACTGAAAGAGGGAGTTTACACAGCCAGTGCTGGGAATTTCGCTCAAGGATTGGCCTGGAATACTCAAAAACTGGATATACCCTGTAATGTGGTCGTCCCTGATCATGCTCCCGCCACTAAACTCGCGGCAATAGAGAGACTTGGGGGTCAAATTATCAAAGTTCCGTTCAGCGAGTGGTGGAAAGTTATACAAACACATAAATATGATGGGATACCTGGGACATTTGTACACCCTGTCTCAGACCCATCAGTCATTGCAGGTAACAATTGAAAAATCCTCAGGTATCAAACTGATTTTTTTCAGTGCTATAGAAAATGTTACAGTAAAAAAGTTTTTGTAGTTCATGTACAACTTTACAAACAAAACATAAGGATTTGAATGAATGTTCAGATTTATGAGATTTTTCAACTGTTAGTGCACTACAAATGCAGATAAACATGAAAATTATATATAAATTGTGTTCAAGGTTTTCCTAATATACAGTTTGTGCTCAGCATGATGCACTGACAACTTGTATTAATATATAAACATACAGAAGACAATTTTTAGTTGATTCCTCAAAAAATATCTGTTATATTAAAAAGCAAAGGTTGCTTTTCACAATGGTAAAAATTGTATTGAATAGTGATACACATTGACGATAAAATCCTATTTACAGCATCCAATTCCAAATTAAGAAACAATGAGTTATTTTTTCATTTTTTTTTCTTTTTTTCATTCTTTTTTGAAGGGAATGGGACAATTGGTTTGGAGATATTAGAAAGTTTGCCAGATGTCAATGCAGTCATCGCTCCGTACGGAGGCGGGGCACTCTCATGTGGAATTGCCTCCGCTGTAAAATCGGTCAAACCAGATGTGAAGGTCTATGCATCTGAAGTTGAAACAGCAGCTCCTCTCAAAGCATCCATGATAGCAGACAGACCCGTGAACATTGACTACAAGTCTTCCTTTGTGGATGGAATGGGAGGCAAGGCCGTCTTGGAGGAGATGTGGCCATTAGCTCGAAGCCTCATTGATGATTCCATCGTTGTCAGCCTGCAGCAGATTGTGGATGCTATAAAGTTAATGGCAGAGAGAAACCACATGATTGCAGAAGGGGCAGGTGCAGCCCCTCTTGCAGCTGCCCTGACAGGAAAGGCAGGAAAAGGGAACATCGTGTGTGTGGTGTCTGGTGGCAACATTGACACGGATAAATTGACAACAATACTGCAAGGCAACATACCACAGTGATGTCAAACTTTATGTTAATAGCAATTTAAGATACAGCCATACGGGTATACTATATGTTTGAAAATATGAATTGATTTTTTTTTATTTTGGAGATAGATGTCGATTTCAAATCAGATACAGTAGAATCTAGTTGTACTACCACATTTGACCAGATATATTTTAGAGGTAAAACATGAGGGTAAAACAGTGATTTATATAGGGAACATATTGAAGAATCATTAAGAAAAAAAAGGAAATGAGACATTACAAAATATTGGCTGTAAAAGGGGCATTAAGTATAGGTTTTACTGTATAGTGATGACTATTGGGCATTATAACAAAGTTTTACTGTACAGTGATAATTAATTGGCATTATCACAGTGGTAATTAATTGGCATTATAACAAGGTTTTACTGTATAGTGATAATTAATTGGCATTATAACAAGGTTTTACCGTATAGTGATAATTAATTGGCATTATAACAAGGTTTTACCGTATAGTGATAATTAATTGGCATTATAACAAGGTTTTACTGTATAGTGATAATTAATTGGCATTATAACAAGGTTTTACTGTATAGTGATAATTAATTGGCATTATAACAAGGTTTTACTGTATAGTGATAATTAAGGGCATTATAACAAGGTTTGACTGTGTAGTGATAAGTAAGGGCATTATAATAAGGTTTTACCGTATAGTGATAATTAATTGGCATTATAACAAGGTTTTACCGTATAGTGATAATTAATTGGCATTATAACAAGGTTTTACTGTATAGTGATAATTAATTGGCATTATAACAAGGTTTTACTGTATAGTGATAATTAAGGGCATTATAACAAGGTTTGACTGTGTAGTGATAAGTAAGGGCATTATAATAAGGTTTTACCGTATAGTGATAATTAATTGGCATTATAACAAGGTTTTACTGTATAGTGATAATTAATTGGCATTATAACAAGGTTTTACGGTTTAGTGATAATTAATTGACATTATAATAAGGTTTTACTGTATACCGATAATTAAGGGCATTATAACAAGGTTTTACTATAGTGATAATCAATTGGCATTATAACAAGGTTTTACTGTGTAGTGATAAGTAAGGGCATTATAACAAGGTTTTACCGTATAGTGATACTTAATTGGCATTATAACAAGGTTTTACTGTATAGTGATAATTATTGGCATTATAACAAGGTTTTATATTACTGTTTAGTGATAAAAAGTGGGTATTATATCAAGGTTTTACAGAATATCCATCTATATATATATTCCCATATATATTTTTAATTTGATAAAAATATTTTTATAGATGTTGTATTAATATATTTTGAAGAATACTGCTATATAATTACTTACAATTGTTAAATATCAATGTTAATGGTGTTTTAATATCGGGAAAAATCTGCCTGATAGCTATGTTACCTTTGGACGAAGCAATAATAAAACAAGTTTTGGTTCTATTTTATATATGCATTTTGTTTTGACATATTTTCAGTGAAATAAAATGTCTGAAATCTCCGTTTAGATTTATGATATGGTATATATAGTTTGAGGATCTAAAGTCAATACCTTATCTGAATATCTCATTTAAAATCAGGAAACAGACAGCTGTGTCCCAATTGCTGTAGTAGTTCAAATACCTATAAAGAAATACTGTTTATAATCAGGTCCATCTCAGAGTATCATTCGTTCAGACAACTTGTCTATAAAGAATACACATTTGGTAACATTTTTTCGTAGAATTAACTGCAAAAGAAAAAAATACTGTACATAACACATTACATAAGTCCATTATTTTTAACATTAAAAAATAATTGAAGACAAATGGCACTGGTTCATAATTTTATTCTAAAAGCAAATATTAGTAACAAGATTAAAATTCATCATTACTAAAAAGTAACAGTCAATTATTATGCATCACACATGTTTAAAACACGCACATACTACCTTGACTCCTATAACATGAGCCACTAGTCGGCCATTTTTCACCGGATATGCTTACTGGTTAAATCTCTTAACATTGTTGGTGTATTTCTACCTTAAAATAGTAATACATTGTACATGTACCTGTATTTTATTTGAGAGTTATTTCCCTTACGTTAGATTCAAGATAAATTTCCTTTTATGTTTGTTATTATGGTAGAATTAACTCATAACAATTCGCAATTTCAGAAATCAAGCTTCATCGTCATAATAAAACTTCAAGTGAAAGTTTATAATTAATTTTTTGAAAAATTGTGTGGAAAGACGATTATTTTTATGTTTATGTTTTTAAGATAACAACAGGTTCATCGGTTGTCCGTATAATGTGACTGGGTGGGATGCTGTGCTGAGTACCTTCAGGAGGATATTTCAGTGAGTTAATACTTTAACGTTGGCATTAGACCAATGCTATCACAAGGAGGCAAATACACCAACATACCCTGTCTCCAGCACGCATACACAACACACATTGAGGCACGTCCTTAAATTACTTTAGCTGTTGATAGAACATTGAATTGGAAGAGTTCAAATGTGTCTTCAGGGGTGGATGAGTTAAGCTATGCTCCAAGGAGTTAGTCCCTAGTGATGGGTCTAATCCTCCAGGTCAGTCCTGGTAGCATGAAGGGTACCCTTTACAACTGACGGTTATCATTGAACGCACGGACTTGTGTGTCTTTTAATCAACTATGTTTATCATGAATACACCACTCCATCAAGTTCTCCCTTTAAGAATATTAAACTTTTTAATAATGCTCCCTTAAATATTCTAAGGGAGATAACTCTCACACAAAACGGGTATAAAGTACGAGGTAGCATATAAGTATATGTACAGTATGAATATTCTGCCATGCAAATTTTTTTTTATCGTTAATTTCTGAGATTTCTTTTAATTACTATCATAGAGGTGATATTTCAAATGTCGAAAAAAAAAAGGCTAATATATGTCAAAGCCCTAATTCCTTACAAAAGAAGTGAAGTTTACACTAGTTTTATAAAAAAAAAATGTTTTTTAATTATATCTTCCCATCGCTCCCATTTACTGATACGTCGACATGTTAGTAAACGGGAGCAAAGATATCATTTTAATTATATTGTATCCTTTCATTAAGTGCTTATTTGTTAATTCACTTAAAACGTGATTAATTTTGTCACCAGTTTTTCTATGACCTTTAATAAACATATTTCAAAGTTCAGTTTTGAAAAATGAATAAATAAATGTTAACAAAAACTACATTTACAAGACATATTGAATGAAAAATAAAAAAGGTATATTAATTTAATGAAAAAATAATGACAAAGCTATTTTGAGAAAACTTGAGTCCAAGTTTGTTTTTTATTAAAAAATCAGGGCTTTTCAGTAAAAAAAATTGGCAAGGGAAAACATCCTTTTTAGTTGTATATGATTTTTATGCTGGTTAGTGACTATAGTTGATCAGACCCATGGAAGCTGCTTCAAGCACGGTCTATAATTACATTATCAACACTAACAGAAATGCAGGACAGAATCTTCAGGCTGGAACTAACGACCTGGACACACCAAAAGTAACAAACATTATATCTATAACTAGCTGCCAAGTAAATAGCAAGCACAATATAAAACTACTCAGCAATTATCAGATCCGACTTCAAAATATTAAAAAAATGTTTGTACAAGTGGTAATTGTACGACCATTTCAAGTCAATCAATTTAATTTGTATACTGAATGATTTGTTACATAACAACCTAGGAGTAAATATATAATACACTTTACTAATTGGAAGATTGTCATAATTAAGTGAGTATTATTTCCTAGCAAACAAATATTACCTGACAAACTATGTAATAATTCATGCAATAGTTTTACTGGGTTACCAGACTATATGTATCTTTCATCCCTGTATAGTATAGTATAAAATCATTTGTTCATATTTTGATCTGCAGTATGCTAAATAGAGGTTCCCCACTGACTGATAGTTTGTTATGTTAATCTAACACGAGTTAGTTAATTTTTTTAATTGTATAAAAACACAAGGTTAACCAAGTGTCTTTTACAATTTGAAAGTTAACTTACGAGAGTTAAGTAAACATGATACCCATGGACCATCATGAGTTTGGGAACTTTTTTTCCCACAAAGTTCAGATATTATATCTAGAAAACCATATGTTTCTTTTTTGTATGTGTTTAACATCCTATGAACAGCTATGGTCATTTAAGGACGTGCCAGGTTTAGGTGGTGGAGGAGACCTGGAGTATCCGGAGAAAATACCATTGACCTGCGGCCAGTACCTGTCGACTGCCCTTCATAGGTCTCGAACCTGCGACCCAGTGGTGGAGGGGTAGTGGTAATAGAGTGTCACACGCCTTACCACTCAGCAAACGTCGCCCCATTGATATCAATAGGAAGACACTTGAAATATGCAGTGTCCTTACAATACATACACGACTTTGTACTTCACTCTAAATAACGAATCTTATCAGTACATGTTCACATATTGACTGTGAACTATGAAACAACCTGACAAAGAGATAATGGCTTCTGATAAACACACTTGAGTGTTTTTTTTATATATTTTTTATCTTGAATTTGTTCCAATAGTGCATCCGTTTTATAAATGCGGATTTTGGGTAACTTAACAATTGATAATGTTATAACACGTGTAAATATAAATCTGTTATTCCTAGCATTGATGTAGTGGAGAATACATCTAGTATCACCCACAGGCTAACATACAGAAGCAAACCTGTCGTACATTTTCAAATGTACAAAAAAAAAATGATTGTTTTAATCTTATGCAACTAATATTAGAGCACCATTGATCATAGGCAAAAACACACACAATACCTCTCCTTCCTTCAAACTGGAGAGACACAATCACATTAAATTATATTACAAACATTTCATACTCTCTCATTTCTATTTCTAAACATCACACAAGCATTTCTTCCTTATTCCTTAATACTATATTCTCAGGACACTGGTAATGCACTATTTATCTAATGAGAAACAAATTATTTTCTTCCTTCCTTTCTTCTTTTTTTTTGTGCTTTTATTTTTTGTTCAGCAGTTTCTAAACTAAGGAATGGAGAAACACTTCAAGCAACTTTTGTTAGATACTAGAGAAATTGTGAGCGAGTTCACAAAGATGTACCCCCCTTTATTTTATCTATGTAGTCAAACTTTGTTTGTAGGGGTACAATACCCCAATCACAAATCCCTTTAAAATTCTTCATGCACATCTACATATGATGATGTTATGTTACAGTGAGTGTAAGCGTACCAAGTTGTAAACAAAAAAATCCAACAAATAGTTAAGGAGGAGATGCACTTACAAGGTTTCTGGAGAAGAAATCAAAGGGCAATAACTCCCTGAAAAATAGTTGAATCGCAAATTCCATTCTTCATGCATATCTACTTATGATGTTCTTTCACTGTGCGAAGTAAAGAAAAATCCAACAAATAGTTTAGGAGGAGTTGCATTTATAAGGTTCAAGAACAGACAGACAGACAGACAGACAGACATACAGGGTGATAAATCTGAAAACCTCTGAAGTACACAGAGTTCCATTTAACACATTTAATTGATAACTTTTTTAGAACTTGTTCTACTTCTATCTCCTACTAGAATATGTTATCTTTTGCACATTGGTTACTAACACTACACAACCAAATACTCTAGCAGTATATATCATGTGCTACAAGGGGAGATAATCTGTTAGTCTCGCACATTCACACTTTTTCACAAAGCTTACATTCTTTTCAAATGACAACTTTTACTCACAGAATCCAAACCCACTATTCTGGCCAAGACTAGAAAACATGGATAAAAATACAGATTTAGAACTCTGTTCCGTTAAACAGGACATTTTGGGACCATGTTGATCACTTATGAGTATTTCTCTTGCCATGAGATTAGTGAAAATTATCTGCCACAGTAACTATCCTGTATAAAGTAGTCTATAAGCACTGCAGCAATTCTCTTTTCTGTTCACAGACTAAATGTGCACGATAAGTTGGAGCTTATAATAAATATAAGTAAAATGTATATCATACCTGCCTAATAATGTCACCCACATTTGCGAAAGTCAACAAAATGCAGTCTAATGGTATTGATCACCTGTAAATGACCTTCAGATTGTATTATATTTTAAAATCTTTACAATTAGCACTGCTTAGCTCATCATTGAAAATGCTTAAAATCAAGTATTTAAATCTGCAGTAATTAACAAGACAAACCAGTATATCAATGGACAAATTATACTTGTTTAACTCCATCATTCACCCCTGAAGACACATTTGAACTCCTCCAGTTCAAAGGTTGGAATAGTTCATTATGAAATATCAGGGGTGAATGAGTTAAATGCAATTTCTACTGATTCTGAAAACATTACATAATGAAGGAGCCAGCATTTATCATGCTTATCCTGTACTTTGATCAACTGTGACCCTCGTTTCATTGCTGAAAACTTTACAGATATAATATACATGTACCTAGGTATTTAAAATATGAACTGTTCATTTTGTTTTTGAGATCAATCAGTGGACCAGATCGACAAAATGCAGTCTAATGGTATTGTGTATAAGATTCATAATACATGTAAATGTTCAACTAATCTGGACAAGTGTTGAACAACAACAAAAACAGTTACAGTTTTGGACCTTGACATCAAACTGTCACATAAACTTTGGGTTGTGAGTCATAACAAGTGATTTATTTACATGAATTAATACACATTTAACTTCAAAAGTCATTATAAGAGTTAGATATAGCACAAAGACACGCATCCTTGAAATCAAAAGGTTCTGCCCTTGGTACACTTTCTTAGAAGTGTATTTTTTTGGTGTGTGGAAATGTTTGCATTGTGACTCTTCAAACTGATTGCTGTGTGGAAATTTAACATTGGCAATGGTCCTGAAATCTATATATTCTATATATCTATAATCTGTACAATCTATATACACATACTCCAATGGAGATGTCTTTGCTCTTTTCTGATCAACGTGAAAATTGTGAGCATTTCCAAACTGCGATAGTTTCAACTTTTACAATATCTTCTCTGCAGTGTGATGTCTTTGATGCAGATTACCTGGTTATAGGAAACAGCAGCGTAACTGAATATAACTGCGTATAATCTTCAGAGGACGGGTATCAACCTAGGGATTGGTAAGATTTTCATACCTGAAACCATTGAAATAGCTGACCCTGAGCCCCAATGTTTTATCATGGTATATTTCAGGATTGCAGAGAAGATACATGTATTGTAGTGAAACCCTTGGATTAAGAAGATGATGGAAAAGGAGAACATTTCATATGGCTATCATTATGATATCCAGGTTCACTAATAGAACAAACATGACAAAAAGTGATTGAGAAAAGTGAGAAACACAACAGCTTGCATTGGTTTGCGTAGGGCAATATTTGAAGGATAGATACATTTTAATAGCTACAGGCAAACAGATAGTTTTCTTTTACAGATCTACTTATACACAATGTGTAGTTATACACTGAAAATATGGGTACCATAGCCAGCTCCCTACCGATGTACACTGTAGGAGTTAAAGCTACTGACTAGCAAATACTGATGTACAATACTTACTGGTTGTGTGAAAAAACATGTAACAAATGTAAATATTAAAACCGTTACTCTGGTTAAGTTAGACAGAATCAATACTGAAAACATGTGCCAGGAAAATTTTGCTGCAGTTTAACATTCATATATTTTGCTCTCCATAAATTAAACCTATCAGCCAATATTTATACACAACATACAACATAAAACTAATACAGGTGAAAGGCGAAATCAGTGCCGGGGAATATCAATTTTACCACTGAAGGGACGAACGTTTGACTGACCGCTTCCTGTTGTACTGTATATTAAATTAAGAGGAGGCTATTTTTTTTTATTTTTTGAACTGCAGGGTAGTAAAAGCTGGATATACTACAATTTCACCCTAATTATTGCTTGAATTCATTTAGTTCATGAAAAAAATGTCCATCTGAAAATTGTTTCAGTATGCATTTTATCTTAAGGATCAAATACAGGGTCCATCTCCTGCTGTTCCATCCTCGATACTCCAGGGGTTAGTCACTTTCACTCTCTGCACCCCTAGAATATGTCATAGAAAAATTGAAGACACACGGCTAATCATTTGATTGGGCTCAGGTAAAAAACCTGACCAATCACTAGGCTGTTACCTGTCCTTTGAAGATTACAGAGGAGAAACACTTCACTGCAAAGCCAGTAAATTTTACCGATACGATACGTGATCGACAGATTCTTTTGATGTACATCAAAGTATCAAACTAGTCTTCTTGTCTCATCCACAAGGTGGTGCACACTGAGCCTTTGTAGTTGTTACGACATATTCCAGGGGTGCAGAGAGCGAAAGTGAGCATAACCCCTGGAGTATCCAGGATGCTGCTGTCCTCCATGGACACCCTCTTTACAACAACAAAATTACCAACATCTTGCATTATAATTAACTGACTAGCACCACTGAACGGTGATATATATCGCATACTATTTCATCAATATATGTCACTCTTTTAAAAATAAACATTGCAATACATCATTTTTTTGGTAGGCTTTCATAGTGTTTCAGTGTGTAAATCAAACAAGTGTTTAGGCCAATCACTGCTAACCTTGCAAATAATTGAGCAATTTTCGAAGAACACAAATTCACATGATTTTTACAATTTCTGTTGAAACCTGTACAACCATTAAATTTTAAAATTTTGTCCGTTGTTCATTAGTCATCCACATGGTCATGAATCATCACTTACAACACTCTCATCAGAACGGGGCAGATGTACTTGGTGTTTGAAGTATTTCCTCTCACTCTCGATGCCAGCATCAACTTCCAGCGTGGCAAGCTCCTCCAGACAAAGTTTGTGTTGTTCTTTGATTTGTTGAATAATGACATCATGCTCTTGACAGAATTCACGAATTCCAAACTGAAAAATGAAAACAAAAAGTGACATAAACATGTTTAACTTTGGATTTTTTTTAATTTTTTTTTTAATGATTGTTAGATTCAAGTCGGTAAATAAAAAAGAAAAACTTTACTTACTATATCTGCAGGTCTTGGAGTAATTAACAGTCTGAAACAAGTAATATGACAAATGATTTCATAACTAGCATCAACATCCAAATATAAACATTCATGAATAGATTGCGCATACTATATATATACTTGGAAATTTTCACTGCATCTTAATTTTGGTAATTTTTTGCCATCTGTAATTATCATTACAGCAAACAAAAGGAAACAATATAATATTCATAGTACAAGCGTAATTAAATGTGAAGGGCAAAATTAACAGCAGGCCAAAATTGATTTATGGGTGAAGGGCGAAAGTTTGACAGGGGGAAAGTTACCGGTAAATATTATACTTTTTCATGTCTAAGGGTGTAGGATAGGGAAATTCCATCTGAGCGGTTTTCAAATTTGGTAAAACCCCAGGCTTTGCCGAGAGTTTTGCCAAATTTGAAAATCCCGAAATTTGAATTTCCCTATCCTACACCCTTAGGCATGAAAAAGTATTTTTTTCTCTCGTTGCAGCCACCAGAATAAGCTCAGAAACCATGAAAATGTGTTTGGACTGGCCACCATTTTGAAAATACATATCACTTTTCCCCCTGAGCTTCTTAGACGAAAACGAATCAGCCAGCCGATGTGAGCATATCACATATTGGCAAACAGAGTCAATGCAGGAATATTAATCACATCTTTCTAACGTGTATGGTTAATATATCGTAAAAGGTTTTAAATTTCATCATGTCACCTTTTCCGCATTGCGGCATTGGAGAGTTCCAAATTTGTGACGTCCCATCATTGTCGAGCCATTGTGATGTCATGTCACGTTAAATGGGGTGTGAGATAGAAATTTCCTACACCCCTTTCTTACCCTGGACAGCTCTATCTTACACACGAGAAATGAGAGAAATATATATACATACTGCTTCCCAGAGAAAGAATTCGTAAAAAATAGTATGCTGTACACTGCAGCAGAGATTATACAGATTGCATGAAATTTCACCGTGTTAAACCTTTTATAATTAGAGTAGATCATGAAGAGCAGGAAAAGAATGATTTAAAACCGACAGTTAAGTATTGTAGCAGACTCACCTTTCAGGAATGAGAGCCATGGTTTGAGCATGGGTGATTCTATATTTCTCAATCTCTGCCTGGTACTTGACTATAGAACAGTCGGTGTCCATGGTCCCGATACCTGTGGATGGGAAAAATAAATTTCCAACAATATGTGAAAGTTCTGACTATTTAACTTATGGTAATTAAGCAAAAGGCATTAATGCGGACTGAAAACTGTTTTTCAACAAAAATAACTTAGCTAATTGGAGACCATATTGACGATCTTTTATTTTTATAAACTAACCCATACATAAACAAGGTACTAATTGACATTAAAATGAACTTTAAACCTACCTGTACATGCATAGGCAAAATATGACGGATGCCAATTATTTCTATATCACATGCATATCATATTATACCCTAGTACCATATGGAACTCAAAATTTTTGTGTTTAGGAAATTCTCACATTTTTAAATTTCATCAAAATATATCCACATGCAAAAATATATATGTATTGATAATACATGCATGTATAGATAGATTTCCACACAGTCATCAGATTAAAGAATCACAATGCAAACACTTCTATATGTGAAAAATTTCCACATTTACGTTATGTGATTTTCATCAACAATTATTATACTGAAATTAACATCACTGTACCCAAATCGGGACACTTGTTAGATAAATATCAATGTTCTTTATACTATACTATCAATTCAAAAAAAAGTTTATCATTTTTCATAAATATATACTATCCAATTTTCATTTCTTTTACAAGTTGTTTTTTCGAGTGTGTGGTTCTATAAATAGAACGAGAAATATTATCAGGGTCAAGCAGGCCCTTGAACCGACTTTACCGTACCCTGAAAGGGGCACTTAAGTATTTGGACTAATATTTGGGGATAAAAACTCAATATTATTTTTATCTAAATTTGAATTTGACTGTCCCATCATTTGAAATTGATAAGAAAATCATTCGTATTCGTAATTGCACTCAAACCTTTCATCAACTCTTCTAGTTCTTTTAGCTCTTTCCTCACAACTCCGGAGGTCCTCTGGCCTTGGAAACGTCTATAAATAGAAATTTTACATTTAAACATAATCAGCTGTACTTCTTTTTCCATAGAATTCATTACATTTTTGAGCAAAGTATTAAATTGGATCATATACATACAACGTGAAACCAATGTTTGTGGTGAAAAATGTAGACAAATCATACTATGTATCTTAATTAGTTTATAATCATCATTGAAGAACACAATAATTGATGAGCGGGTACCTAAAAATAATTCACACAATCAAAAGAAAATATAAATAAAAACAAAATTGAAAATGAAATATAAGCTATTCTTTCTTTTGGCTATGTTAGCAATGTTTTCAACAGACCATTTTAGCAGCTCCTGTTATAAATATTCTATATATATACCCAAATGAAAAAGCATCTACACAAACATGGTGAAAAATAATAGTAAATTAAAAAAATCATCAGAATGGTAGACTAAAACCCCTTGCCTGTGCAAAATACTGTAGGAATAGATCTTTTGAGAGCATTTTGAAACGAAGGGGCATAACTCTACAGATAGGGGAGACAACTTAAATAAATAAATTTAATTCACATCCTCTTGATGTAAGCATTCTGTACATCGAGTTATATCAGTGCTTTCGGAGAAGTACCAGGTAATGTAACACTGTTTTTTAAACAAAGGGGCATAAATCCATACAAGGGAAGTAACTCAAATTTATCAAACTAAACCATATGCCCTTGATTAAGTGTTATTTGTACCATTCAAATTGGTACTTCATAGATTTGGGTAGTAACTCCATCTTCTATACTATATTCACATTCCCTAAATGTATGTGCTATGTGTACCAAGTATCATTTACTTCTGCATAGTATTTTGGGAGGAGTAAGTGCAAACAGTCTTTTAAACAAAGGGGCATAACTCCATAAATTGGGTTGGTAATTCCAATCTATAAACATTATTCACATCCTAGCTATGAATTGGTTCCCTGTACATCCCCAAGCATCATTCAAATGTGTTGCAGTCCTTCAGAAAAGTAGTGGAAACGACAGACAGATGGACAAACAACCAAATTCCAGTATACACTACCCTCCCCCTCTCTCCTCTAAAACAAAAATGGTTGCAGGGGGTATAAACACATTGTACAAGTATCTACCTTCACCAGTCCAGTGATCATTTCTAAATAATTACCATCGTGTAATCAAAGAGGAAAGAATACAGATCATTTAGACAGAACATAGGACCAACACATAATTATACCTACAACAAATTTAAGTCTACTTCATATAAAATAAATATAGCACATGCTGTAATCATCTTGCATTTTGAAATACATGCAGAATTTGATAGCATACATGCATATCCAGTAGCAGGCTCAGCATAAGTTAGCTTTGACAACATATGCATGCATTTGTATTTTACTTTTCTCTCAGTATATACCAGCAGGCAAGCTTGCTGAAAACATATATCTGTTTAATTTTTATTTAGCTAGCTTCAACCAACATAATCTGTTATTCTGTATGCATTTTTTTTATCTAGCTCTGACAATATAGTATTTTATTCTATTTTTATTTTCTATTTAGCTAGCTAGCTGTAACAATATAGTATTCACATTTTGTCATAGTAAAAAGCCTGTTCCTGTATCATGCCTGTATAAGCCAGCTTTGACAACATATTTTATTCTGAGAGTATAGCCTTTCTTTTTTCAACTGACAATAGAATTATTGAAAATTATAATTGTAGTTTCATTATTTTTTACCATCTGCTTAATCTGAAAGTCATTAAGGTTTCCTTTACCATCACATAACACATTTATAAATATCTATGCATGATCGTACGGCATTCCCATTATATAATCCTACCATATTCAGATGGCTATCATACAGCCTATGAATGCCATGAGCCTAGAAGTGACATCATAATTGTTATGTTGGATACCACAGACACTATATAGTACTGAACTGCTTCCAGTTTGCCTTTGTGCACATGGCATTCATATTGCTTATGATTGCCAACTGAAAGCAGTTCAATGTCTATGTAACATTCTAAAAATTTCTATAACAGTCACCCTGCTGATATATTTAAAAAAGAAAACACACAATATAAAATAGGATGAAAGAGAATGAGAGTTTGATTTTGGTGCAGAAATATGATCCGTACAGTAGCCCACTGACAATGACCATGCTACCACTATAATACTACGGTGATTCTACGACCCATCAGGTGCTTGTACAAACCTTCGGCCTTTTTTTCTGGGTAAAATGAATGAGTGGGATAAGAAATTAATCTTTTATACAAATGTATCAGAATAACATCAAAATTGAATTGGAAATGAAGACATGCTCAAAACCTGAAAGAGGTCAAACAAGTGAACTGCTAATTTAAACCATGAAGCCAAATATGAAATATTAATAAATTAATTATGGCCTTTTTTGACGATTTAATGAATACACAATTTGATTACCAATCATAACCACTACTGGTAAATTGCAAAATGTTTACATCACAGAAACAAAATGATGCGAAAATGTTCATCTTCATCGAAATTCATGTTTTCTGCCTCTTTACATGCACTCTTTTTATGTTTATGCATGCATGCCTAAGGATAACAGTTGAGCATGTCAAATCGACTTCGGATGACAGTCACAACACAACTGTCGTTAAGAGGTGCCAAAAGCACCCACTCAGAATATATGTCAGCAGATTTTAATGTATTACCTCTATACTAGATGATGTTTTCAAATACAATAATAAACAGCTGGGTTATTATAGGGTCACTTAACTTGAGTTATGTTAAATACATGTACAAACAAACACGAACAACCAAACCAAACGTTCATGTATATACATTACACATAAACCCAAATAATTTTTACTTCAATTTTAGGATAAAATCACAAAATTGTAGACTTGCAAAATGTCCTGCTACTACAAGATATGTATGTTGCAGACATCTTATTGTAATTGGATGTCATATAACATTGTTTACACATGTACATGATATCAACATAAATAAGTTAAAATTAAATAAAAATTGAAATAAGTGAGAAATACATACTCGTGCAATATACTTCCGTCGGCTCCATAAATACGACTGTGAGTTTTACTGTGTTCACAAACCCAGTCCTCAACTAACGGCTTTTTATTCTACAAAATATGAAAACCATCAACCACTTAGGAGTCAAACCTCCTTATTAGGAAATCATGAAATGACAGACTTAAGGTTGAAATTTTGTCATCATGTTGTTGTCATATAGCTCGATCTTGATCAAATTCTGAATTATTTATCAGGAATAAGACTGCGATTAGAAAATACTCTAATTTACTCAACCGATTGTTAGCAAATGGAATTCCCTACTTGAGAGTGTGATTCAAGGATCAAACCCCAAACCTAACAAACTTTGAAAACGGCCTTGATAGATTTTGGGTGAGTGATGAAAGGAGATTCATAACAATATCGGAGTGAGGTCACATCAAAGACCCTGTATGTATCATAATTAAATAGGGAATATGATCTGAATTTAGAGGCAGATATGCCTGTGATCAAAATAAAATAAACACCTCTGGTTAACTGTATGTTGAAAGATTTATTTTCTATGGTCTTTAATTAGATTTCTGAGATAAAGAGTATCGACTGCCGGTTATATGTATGATAATACATGTACACATGTTGATTGGAATACTGCCATCACAATACACATTCTGATTAATTAAATATGGTACAAATATATCAACATACATACCCTAAATACCCCAAGCCGCAGCTTATTTTCACTTTTACTAAGGAATCCCAGACTTACTTTCAAAATCATTTACATAATAGTAGACGGTAAGCCTTCAATGGCTTATTTTCAAGTCTTTCCTTTTTTGCACTGAAAATATCATGCTATACAGGTTTTTTTAAAGGATTTTTTTTTTCCTTTTATGTAACATTGCAGTTAATATGCATCAGTTAACCTGTTTAGACAGACAGGGAAAGTGTGGCTCCTATCTGAGATCCAACACTTACTATTTCAAAACCAGCCTACTTTGAAAGACGGCTAATTATCAAGATATGTTTGAAGGTAAGGAACCCAACGCTTATTTTCAAATCAGGCTTATTACTAAGATTTTAGGGTATTGACCAATATACTGTAATACTGTATGTTACATACAAGACAATATATATGTGAAGAGAGCGCTTCAGTTAATCTAGAATTGGAGAGGGAGTGTTGAGTAATGCAGTTGATTAAATTTTTCCAGTCAGTGACAACTAAGATATTGTAGAAATCACTCAGACATCTTGAAAGAAGCACCAAGTTTTAGCAGGGGAGTGTGTTGTTCAAAATTTATTTTTCAATTTTATTTGTCATACATGTATGCATATACATGCATGCATCGTGAACTAATACCCTATCATGAAGTGAATTTGTAATCTATGTTCCTTGGGGTTTGCTATAAGGTATTTTGTTTTGCTGTATCAATGAAAATATCAAACCTGACATGTACCTGTTTTTGTACATTTTTTAATAAAAAGTGTTACAACTTTTATTCGGCAAACGAGATTTTAAACTTAGCCTTTATAAGTTAAGGTGGTAAACATCATCTGTCAATAACTGACTTATAACACATCATTGTTTTAAACAGGCTACCCAATATGGTTAATTTAACTACATTTTAATTAAAAGTAAAACGAGAAAAGAGAAGTAGATATGCATGTTCATATATATAATACAAAATTGTTAAACTTAAAGAAAATCAATCAAATATACATGATTTTTTTTAGGATATATCCAAAACCAAGTTATAATAACAATGTACTTACAAATGAAGGGTGCTCATATTTCTTTGGTGCCTGAAAGTAAAACGGAAAAAGGAAAGCTAAAGTCTTATTCATCAAAGACTGCTACAACAGGAAACATGGAAAACATATGTATGTATGAATGTTACATTCATTGCTTGTGTTTCTGAAATTGTAAATTTTTCATTTATGCTAATAAATCCTTATCAAATGTCTTTATCCAACTTAAATCACAGGTATAATGTGAACTGCAGCAGTACGTAGGTTTTCTCCAGGTACTCTGGTTTCCTGCCACATCAAGACCCCCGCGCTACCATCTTGGCCAACAAGAGTAACTAATATAACTGGAAACAAATTGTTTCACAATTGTTGTAAAATGAATGAAGTTTAAGTTAATAAAGCAATACACAGATATCATTGATTTACCTATACAATATGAATGTTAATATTTTAAAGTATGCCGTTTTATCAATTTATCAAGCATTCAATAAACATGTACCTTCATTCATGTGAAGTACAATTGTCTTCTTTTTTCAATCAATAGATCTTTAGCTGCTAAATCAAAAATTATCATGTTGTTTTACAACCTCGATACTCCAGGGGTTACACTCACTTACGCTCTCTACAATGAGTGTAAGTTAATGTTACACCTAGAGTGAGTATCAAGGATGAATTGTATAACAGCTTTCTTGTTTTAATTCAGAAAATTCATTAATTATTAGGTACTATTGCAGATAAACTTGATACCTCAGGAGGAAAGATTTTCTCCTTATAGGACAATTCTGTTTCTATGCTCTGAGGAGGCGGGACTTCTGGAATGTCGGACAGATCCTGTCCAATCAAAGACGGCAAGAAAACAAGGCATTTCTTTGGGTCTACACCCATGAAGTCTTCCATTATATCTTCTGTTAACCAGGGTCGCAGGGGCTCCAAATCTTCGGGTAGAGATCTGTGTTACAACAAATATACCATTTAGGTTTAAACTGTAATACAGGTAGCTAATTCATATTTGCCTACTCTCGCTATTTAGGAGGGAGACTCCCGATTTTGGACCCTAAGATCTGTTGTCATGGTTTCATCTGAAAGGACAGTTCCAAAGATTTTTGCCCAAGGTGTATACATGTATATACACACATTTTATTTATGCTTGTAATTTTGAACATGTGTTATCTTCCCCATGAAAATTTCAAAAAGTTCGCAAGTATGCCATTATATAGTCATACAAATCACAACTTAACAAAATTATAAGCTTTAAGCTTGTTTTCCAATCCCCTGAAATTACATGTATACAATAACCTTGTATCATTATTGAATAAAATACTGTTTAAACTAAATTCAACTAATTCCACTGAATTTTTTCCTTCAAAAGCTTTAAAAGGCTTTTTAATGTTCCATGAAATTAAACACTTCAATCTTACAAACTAAGATATACAAAAAAAGAAAACTGTTCTCAGAAGAAAACTTCAAGGCATTATTAGATCAAAGTAATTGTGCTAATTACACATAAACAAATAAATAAAATAAACATAAACATACTTATGTTTCTTCTGCAAATAATAATGTCACTATTTCTTTCAATATATTAGCTTGAGTTTTGTTTCAGTTGACAATAATAATCTGAACAGAACTGCAGACAAATTGAATTAATGTGCATTAAATAAAAACACATTATGATTGCTGGTCTCCAATTCCGTTAAAAGATCAGGTTGAAAATTACATTCTTAAATAAAATTTTGATACAAAATTTGAAAATGTGATGGCACTTATCACTGGCGACAACAAAATGCTGACTTTGCTCATATCATGGTAATATAACCCAACCATGCTGACTATAATCCAACAATGCTGACTTTTTACTGAAATTCACGTTAAATTACCATGGTTAGGTTATACTCAGCACGGTCATTTAAAAGTCAGCATTTTCATTTAAAAGTCAGCAGAGTACTGGTCCCTAAAGACTTTACTTGTGTTCCTCCATCACTAGCCATATATGCATGTTCAAATTCGAGATACCATTTCAATAGATGGAACAGCTGTTGAGTATCGGTCGGTGCTCTCCCATGTCATGTACGTATGGAGTCACAATTGTCAAATACCTCACAAACACATTGACACAGTTTTTTTGCCTCATTACTGATTTTAACTTATTCTTGTAAACCATGTATAGTGGCAATCCATCCTCGATACTCCAGGGTTTACTCTCACTTACACTCTCTGCACCCCTGGAATATGACGTAGCAAAATTGCAGGCTCAGTGTGTGCCATCTTGTGGTTGAGACAAGTCTGCTAGCTTTTTAGCTGACATATTCCAGGGGTGCAGATGAGAGTGTAAGTGATCATAACCCCCGGATATTTGAGATGCAGTGGATAAAATCTACATGTTTTTATAATTACTTTGTATCAGAAAATAATTTTACATTACAAAAAACCCTTCAGATCCTACCTTTTTCCGTTCTCAGTGCCAGCTGTAATCTCCAGCATGCCTGGAGTCTCTGTGGATAACTTATATGGAAAGCTCACTGTAGCACTCTGGGCATCGGACACATCACCAGTGCTACCAAATATATGTCTCTTCTTCTCTAGGCCAAACACCGAAGGTTTTAGTCGGTCTTCTTTTTCTTTGTCTTTTTCATCACTACCAACGTCCTTAGTTACATTTGCATCAGAGAAGACATCATTCAACACACTTTTCTCTGCCGTTTTATTGGTACAAGGGGTATGGAATGGTTTCAGTTTGGGTGCATTGGCGACATGTTTAGAACTCACAGGTTGTTTGTAGTCATATTCTGGTACAGGTGCATCACCCCCGATGTCAACAACAGGCATCTGTCTACCATTGATAGGAACCAAAGCCATTTCATACGGATCATACGTGGTGCCTTCATTGTTATTAATTTCTAATTTTCCTAATCCTTTATGAATGTTTGAAGTAGATGTATCTGTACTGTATTTATATTGTTGACTAGAATACCTGCTACTCGCACTAGATGTTCTTTTGGCAGATGGGATCCTCTTTTTTACTTTATTTTTATGCAAAGAAGATGATGTGCATCTTGGAGTAGTTCTTTCATTATCACTGTGATTCACTGATCCATTAAAAGCAGTGTGATTCACTGAGCCATGAACTGCAGTGTGATTCACTGAGCCATGAACTGCAGTATGATTCACTGAGCAAGGAAGTGCAGTGTGATTCACTGAACCATGAACTGGAGCACCATTGTGTTTTACTGATCTGTCGATGACAGCACTGTATGGTCTATTCACCTTGTTCCTTTCAGTAGATTGAACACCATTTACATCAGCACGATTTCTCAAATGTTGAGCATTCTTTTCTAGTCGTCCTGTTGCACTTTGCACTCTGTTTAGAATCTTCGACTTGCTTACAGATGCTGGAGGTTTACCTGCGTACAAACAGTCACCTACCAAGCTCCGTATTTCTTGATCTTGGTGGTTGATTTCTGCCCTATGTGTGAACAATCTGTTATGTTGAGTAGTTGGGAAAAGGGAAGAATTTCTGTTGTGAAATCCTCGCACTGTGTAGTTTGATGTATGTTCAGGAATTCCCTTTTCAGTATCTGAAAATATATCAATATTACATAGCATTCATTTGTACTGTTAGTTACCAAGTATATTTAACTAGATTTGTTACTACATTGTATAACTAGATTTCTTACTAAACTTTGAACTATTATTACAGCTAAAATTACCATTTTTATTGTCTTATTTTTTATTAATACTAGGATCATTTTGTTGGGGTTGTGTGACTCTCCAAATGTGCTTGAGTAGGATACAGGTATGTAGTAGTATAAATAGGGTTGGAGACAGTGACTCAGGGCTCAGATATTGGATTTTTAGAAGAACAAAAGTATAATACTCTATCTGGTATGTATATCTGAAGAGACTTGAGTCTTGTTTCTGACAAGTTTCCTAGCAGACTTTAAACACACACCGCCCCGAGAATGGACAGGAAAATGCAACAATGCCAGACTGGGGTTTGAACCCTATACAGACTGTCTAATCAACTGAGTCAGTAGGCATTGACAGGAAAATGCAACAATGCCAGACTGGGATTTGAACCCTCTACAGACTGTCTAACCAACGGAGCCAGTAGGCATTGACAGGAAAATTCAACAATGTCAGACTGGGGTTTGAACCCTATACAGCCTATCTAACCAACTGAGCCAGTAGGCATGGACAGGAAAATGCAACAATGCCAGACTGGGGGTTTGAACCCTATACAGCCTATCTAACCAACTGAGCCAGTATGCATTGACAGGAAAATTCAACAATGCCAGACTGGGGTATGACCCCTATACAGAGTGTCTAACCAACGGAGCCAGTAGGCATTGACAGGAAAATTCAACAATGCCAGACTGGGGTTTGAACCCTATACAGCCTATCTAACCAACTGAGCCAGTATGCATTGACAGGAAAATTCAACAATGCCAGACTGGGGTATGAACCCTATACAGACTGTCTAATCAACTGAGTCAGTAGGCATAGACAGGAAAATGCAACAATGCCAGACTGGGGGTTGAACCCTATACAGACGGTCTAACCAATTGCGTCAGTAGGCATGGATAGAAAAATGCAACAATGCCAGACTGGGTTTTGAACCCTATACAGACTGTCTAATCAACTGAGACAGTAGGCATTGACAGGAAAATGGAACAATGCCAGACTGGGGTTTGAACCCTGTACAGACGGTCTAACCAACTGAGCCAGTAGGCATGGACAGGAAAATGCAACAATGCCAGACTGGGGCTTGAACCCTATACAGACTGTCTAATCAACTGAGCCAGGAGGCATTGACAGGAAAATTCAACAATGTCAGACTGGGGTTTGAACCCTATACAGACGGTCTAACCAATTGCGTCAGTAGGCATGGATAGAAAAATGCAACAATGCCAGACTGGGGTTTGAACCTATACAGCCTGTCTAACCAACTGAGGCAGTAGGCCTGGACAGAAAAATGCAACAATGCCAGACTGGGGTTTGAACCTATACAGCCTGTCTAACCAACTGAGCCAGTAGGCTTGGACAGAAAAATGCAACAATGCCAGACTGGGTTTTGAACCCTATACAGCCTATCTAACCAACTGAGCCAGTAGGCTTGGACAGGAAAATGCAACAATGCCAGACTGGGATTTGAACCATATACAGACTGTCTAACCAACGGAGTCAGTAGGCATGGACAGGAAAATGCAACAATGCCAGACTTGGGTTTGAACTTTAACAACTGTGCCAGTTTAAGCATCTAGCCAAGTCCCATCACACACCTGCCTCTAAGTATTAAACCTTATAACACTATCTGGAACCAAGGTTTGGATATTTATTCGCCAAGTGCACATGAGTTAGTACTTGAAACAAGGGTTAGAAACAGGCACCACTGTAAAAGGATTGAAGAAATGCGATGAGGCCAGTCTGGAATTTGAACCTGGGGCCTCAACCCCAATGCCGCTATAAATGTATTGTGTAGGCTTGAGAAACGCTGCAATATTCACTTATTTATCATTTGATTTGAATATGTACAAAGGCCAAAAAAATGTGTGTTTCCGCTATCATCCTCAGAAAAAATAGGGTAGGTAGATAGATTTTTTTTTATTTTGAAAAATACTTTTATACTATGTTTATATAGAGCAGGAGTATAATGGTGCATAATACTTAATGGCAACTAAAACTTTTTGAGGAGGCACAGAAATCTATGATAGGTAGGGATTGTTTTTTTGATGTTTTTTTTGTCCTTATAAAGGCATCACATGTATTACAAATGATTTGGCAATATATAACAAAAATGTGGTTAAACAAGAATTCAAAACTTGTGTATCCTCCTCCTCCTCCTTCTCATCATCATCATGCAGATCGAGAGACAGATAGTCACATTACCAACTGAGCTGCTAAGACAACAGATTTCACCATACTTCAGTTCTGCTGCACTCTTCCTTCCTTCAACAAAATCTTAGATTTTGATGATAAATTAAATCTGACTATTCCAATTAACTTCTACTTGTAGATTTGTGAACCGCTTTGAGACGACCTACGAACTAGGTTGTGATAAAGTGGTATAATTAGAACCTCTAGTTATTATTATTATCATTATTTTCCTTTTCCATGAACTCTACCCTATGTATCTCTTTAGTTCTATCTGATGGTCTGCAAGTACAAGTTCTTTCTCTATTTCTTCCCAGCCCCCAACTTATTCCTTATCTATAACCTTAATCCTATATCCTCTGTGTGCTGTTTGCTATATTCTCCCATGACAGAATTGTCAACTTGTTGAAGGTGGTCAGGTTAATGAGAACTAGTCAATGTGTAGCAAAACTGGACTGGGTCGATCGTCAGTGACCAGGTAGCTCAATTGGTCTGTATATAGTTCAGAGGGTTCCGGAGACAGTTGTATCCGAAACGTAGGACGCTCTATTAACAAGTGAAGGCGGTCGAAGACGATTGACCCAATCTAGTTCAGCTGGCCTACACATGCATATATAGCATATATTGTCTCCAATTATAGCAGTTTATCATCTGTATCGGTATTCTTAGTAACATCATATCTAGGAGAACCTCCGGATGGAGTAAACCGTTAAAAGGTGGGGGGTTTCATGAAAAAAAGCAGGCTGACACAGAGAGCATCGAGTCCTGAAACTTTGACAGATTATGATTTACTGAGGTGACATAACACAACGTATGTATATCAACTAGTACTTTCTAATGTAAAATAGCGCCACGGAATTCGATAACTCGTTATTGAAACTCTTGATACAATATACATACAAGTTGCTTGTGCCAAGTCAATCGTGCGGGCAGTCGCCATATTGTTTACATTCTGACAGGTGCTTGCCGACGCAGAAAATGTTGTGGACAAAAAAGAAAATGAGTTGTTTTATTTAATATAAGATAAAATCACATCAAAGACAGAAAAAAAATAACAATACACGTATTTTTTATATAATTTTATTGAATTATTATATTTTTAAGTGAGTCGGGCAAAACACCGGCATGTGATCTCAATCAGCAAAGCGTTTGACTCGCAATTGATATTGAAAGGCTTGGGATAAAGCTTTCACCTGATTGAGACATTCTTTAGTCACAGCTGTCTGCTTGGTCAGAAAAAAAAGTAGAAAAAGTCACTACGATTTCTACTTAAACATGTCAAAATCTAAAAACATAGTAAGTTTGTTGTGTATTTTCAATGTTTTCTTTCAAATTGTTCAAAACCAACCTCGTAGTCATTTTTCTTTTTTAAGAAATTACACATCCTCTGAGAGCTATTTTCTGCATGTCATGTCATTCTCCACAAAATGCCTATGACATGTATACTGTAACATTCTAATTTTATCCATTGACACTGTCAGACTAATGGTCGATAGGATAAGGGCACGTCGTTAATAACATTAACCTGTTTTCTACGAATTTTCGAATACGACCTGTTAAGAGTACAAGTAGAAATCATTCATACTAGTGAATATTATCATTTTATATAAAAATGGGGGTACCTCCGTCTCCATTGGTAAGACTTTTTGCTAAACGTTTATCGAATGAATTCATTGAAAGCAATGTTGATCTTAAAATTCTTCATATTTTCAGTTATAATTAACCGATTTTTTGAGATAATTTATATCTGTCTCTATTTCAAGTTTTTCTTATTTTCATTTCTTTTTCTTCTGCAGATTGTTCGTGTTCAGTCACCAGAATATGGAACCAAGAGAGTGGAAGCTAGGCAGAATGAGACGATTGCTGATTTCTTGAATAAGGTAGCTAATTCTGTATGTGCTATCAGTTAGTACTAGATCTAGCACTAAACAAATTGGTATCGGGTCGTTTCCCTAAATCTTGTTCTCCTCGGGTCGTTTTGCACTAAGCTGTTTTGCCCTAAAAATCTTTTTATGGTGATTTTTTAGTCCTGTTAAGTTGTGTATGGCTAATATAGTCTAATTTGAATTTTTTGTGGTCGACCAGATCTGCACGTACAATGTAGCATGAAATTCTTTCGACAATTAGACATTTACTCATGAAAACCATGGATAAGATCCTATTTTGTGGTGAAACATGAAAATAGTAAGCTTTTTTAATAATCAAAAACATTTCGACTGATATCCATAAATTCAAAATAAATAATTATGTTAGGGCGAAACAACCTTGGGTGATCTGAATTTAGGGAGAAACGACCCGCAATGCGAACAGGATTTAGGGCGAAACAACCCAGATCCCCCAAAAAATCACCATTTGTGAATTACTCTACTTAGTCAAATTTTAATATTGTTGAAGGCGAGTTTATGTCAGACTCTATGTACCCTTATCAAATGAGGAATTGAAAAATAAGTTAATCAATTTAAGTACATTGTGTGCTTTCTTTGTAGCTTCAAACTGAGTTTGGACTTGGTGACACAGGATGGAACGTTTATAAATCCAGAGACAAGAAAGACTGGATCAGAACATCTCGCGCCAGAACATTGGACTCTTACAAAATAAGGTTAAGGTTTTATTCTGACACCATGTTGTTTCAATGGTTGAGAAAACCCAATGAGAAAAGCACTGTGTCATCAGAATGATTGCAACCAACCCAATCAAGGATTGAAATGAAATTACTGGGAGATGAATTGAAGGCTTGAAGCACATGCTTAGCCGAACATGATCATATCTGGAAATGAACATTTAGAAATAAAGTTCAGAATAAAATATTCCTGATTCCATAGCTATAGTTCACTTTTATTTTCACCTCTATGGTTCTGTACTTGAATAATTTATTTCTAAATGGTTATAGTCATGTGTTAAACATTAAATATGTATGTTTGGTATTTTAATTGTAAGAACTGTCAAATATTACATATGCAGCACACTTGAAATTTTCAAAGCATTACGTATACATTCCTTTGTAATTGATAAACTAATTCTCAATTTTTGTATTTCAGACATGGGGATATGCTGTACTTATTTTCGTCCAGCAAGACATCAAAAGGTCAAGAATTCAGTAACATAGCTCAGAATATTGAGGCATCACCTGGCTCCTCCCAAATGTTATCTGGGTCAGGCATGGCCTCACCCATTCCTGGTCAGGGAGTAGTTGAGGATGAGGTGGACCAGATTCTGGACAAAGAAGATGGCAAGATCTACAGAAAGCGCAATGAACAACTGTAAGCACTGACAATAAGATATTTTATATGAATAATAAAAGCTCAATTAACTCATTCACCCCTGAAATTTCATAATGAACTATTCCAACCTTTGAATTGGAAGAGTTCAAATACTTTTTCAGGGGTGAATGAGTTTAGGATATATTTTTTAATTCACAACTGGTCAAGTTTTTAATTCTTCACATTAAACTTCAAAGTCAGATTTTGTTTAATTGAATGCATGACTTCGATTTTCTTTTGACTTTGATCCTTATCAAATAGTTTGCAATAGGTAAAATACTGATAAGGGATGAAGGTGATTGTTATAAATTAATTAAATTGTAGATGCCATCATGGCCCCCAAGGAAAATGCCTGCACTGTGTGCCACTTATGGTAAGTATAAACAACAGATGAAAAATATTCATGGTTCTATTTTGATACACAATACAATAATATCTACATGTAATATTTCAGTGTGGCATTGTTTACCAAGTCTGAACCATAATTGTTTCACTTACAGAACTACATTTAAAAATTAAGTTCTAATTTTTCTATTTAATTGCAAACTTTTATAGGTGAGCTTCTAACTGCTAACACATGAGGGGAAAAAAACTATAGGTGTAGGTCATAGTTAACACATTCACCCCTAGAGACACATTTGAACTCTTCCAATTCAAAGGTTGGAATAGTTCATTATGAAATTTCAGGGGTGAATGAGTTAAAAGGTAAAAAATAAGATGTTCCACTTTATACAGGTCATACCATGGTATTGCAAAATTTTCTATCTCCTTTAAATATTTGGTGCCTTTATATTTACTAGCCCATAACTTTTGCTGTCAAAAGAGAACTTCGGTTTATATGTCATCAGTAAACAGTATCTTTTATACCAATTACACAAAGAGCAAAGTAACTAATACAAGTTTAATGTCCTGTTATCATTATATCTATTCATACATTAATGTAGCTTTTATTGGTATTTTTTTCCCTTAGCCATATGATGAGGAATTCTTACACAGCTGTGAGCCCCCCATCAAATTCCTCGCATTCCACTCACACTTACGTAAGCTGACAGGAGGAGTGGACAAGTAAGTACATATATCTCTTTAGTGTAATGGCAGGTATAGACTATAGTATGACTTAGGTACCGGTAATGAATATCATATATTTGAATATGGAGAATATAAAACTGCACAACTACTGTACAGTTTCAAATATATACTGGAGATCAAGGAAAGCTTTGTTATTTCTTCTTATTTGTTATACTATATAATGACACTAATAAAGCAAAGGAGTAGACAAAACTTGAGGAAATATTCTTTCAGACTGCGGATTGTTAACCATTGGAACTCTCTTCCAGATGCCGTGGTTACATCACCAACAATCAAAACATTTGAATCCCGATTGGATAAACACTGAGGGCAGCATTAATGCTTTTTATGCCCCCACCATAAAATGGGGGGCATATAGTGTTGCCTATCCCGTCCTGTCGCGTCCTGTCCCATCCGTGAGCGGGGGCATTTATGTCTTACAGACATTTTCTAATTTAACCACAAGATAGATAATAATGAAATGATTCTTTTTCGGGCATCATCATATAAACTGATGTTAACCTTTGGTGATCTGGATATATAGGCATAATGCCTAAAGTTTTAAATTATGGCAACATATTTGATTTTTGCATTGTTATAAACTGATATAAAAGATTAACATATAATATTTCGTTAATTTTGTATTGTTCAGGGGGAAATTTGCCTTCTTAGAGAACATAAGCTGTAAAATAAAGACCGGATGTACAGAACATCCACCTTGGCCTGGAGGCATCTGTACGAAATGTCAGCCCAATGCAGTGACACTAAACAGACAGGTTCACAACACTTCTTTGTCTTGATCCGTTAAACATTGGTGAGGTCTTTCCAACACATAGTGATATCCATGGTGTCGGGAATATTACAAGTCTTTCAGTTGGGGACTTTTATCTCAACAAATAAAGGTTTTAACTAGGATATCTATTCAATATTAACTGTTCACATGAAAGTATACAATATTAATAACTTCATATTTGAAATAGCATTGGACATATTAGTAAACCTTGACTAAGAGAAGACACTTATTAAAGTAATATGTTAATGCTTGATACATGGTTATGTTTCCTTGCTGTACACACTTTTCACAGTCCAGATCTAAGCAAACACAAGATTGTATGTTTAATAATGTTTTAATATGTTTTGATAATACTTCATAAAACTGTTTAAGTTGATTTGTTACTTACAGAAATACAGACATGTAGATTACATCATGTACGAAAACTCATCTATTGTCGATCGATTCCTCAACTTCTGGAGAACTACAGGCAACCAAAGAATTGGCATCATGTATGGAAAGTACGAGACACATAAAGACACGCCACTGGGTATAAAGGCCACTGTTTGTGCTATCTATGAGCCACCCCAGGTAAATATGTAACCCCTGAAATCATAACATACAGAAAACAAATAGGTGTCAACCTCTGAAACCTCTAATGAGAGAGATCGCCCTCATTCCACATTTCCAATGAGGGAGAAAGTGTGTGAAACACGGCTGAAACTGCTTTGCTCGATTTATCTTACTCTCTTATGTATCAAAATAACTCCAAAAAGCATTCATTTGATTCAGACACACCTGTTATGATCATTACACATACTCTGCAGTAACTAGAAGATCATTGGAGCACAGGATATAGATTTTGAGTTTGTGTGAGTTTTGACTTGAATCAGGGAGTTGGAGGGAGATTGATCAATTTTGGTCAAAATGAGGGAGGTTTGACAGCTATGAAAACAAGTTTTCTTTAAAATCTATCAAATATTGAAATATATCTCAAAAATGTAAAGCACAAAATCGTATAAAAATTTCAGCTGAGTTCTATTAAATCTTTTATGCATTCAACAATTAAACATTATGAATTGTATGAATGAACATTAAAGATTTAGCACCTTCTACTTCTCTAATAATTCTTTATCACCCATCAAACTAGACTACATTTCACTTAATGTACCCTGCCATAAATGCGAGACAACAGCCCTTACTGTTGTATAACAAGATATTCCGTACATTTTCCAATGAATTTCGCTAATGTATATGAGATGGCGACATGCTTATTCTAAGCTCCCTATCGATATCTTTACAATCTACATGGGAACCCATTGGTTTTCTGATGTGTTTTAATATTGAGTATTACAAAGGACACCTTCCTCATAAGAAGGCCTGTGTGTTTTAAACAATGTTGGGTTTTGTGTTTCAGGTAAGTTCCAAGAGCAGGGTGGAGCTGCTGGAAGACCCTAAAGAAGATGTGGTCAACAAAGTGGCTGAGAGGCTGGGTATCGGCCCAGTCGGCTGGATTTTTACTGACCTCATTGCAGATGACCTCGGAAAAGGCACCGTCAAACACTTCAGAGGAAATATTGTAAGTACAGCAAACTTGGATATAATGGCCCTCGTTTCATTTGCTTACTCACTTACTGCCAACATATTTCAGTGGGTTTTTTTCCCTAACAATTCTGTATTTAGTATATAATGTCTCCCTTAACAAGATTTTACTCTAGAGTGCCATATTATTAATGTATTTTTTTTTATTTGAATATCTGGTGTCTTATTTTTGGGTCCTGAAATACACCAATACTGTAGATAAAAGTAAACATTATGGATTCTGACCAATGCTTATAGGGTTTATCAGTAAATGTTACGAACAATTCAGTCTTGAGGCATCTTTCTTATTCTGTAAGGATTTTACAGCTAAAAGTTTCATCTAATTAATGTTATTCAGTCTAATAATGCAATATCCCACCATCCAGCCAGTGCTTCTAAAAGTGTTATTATGTCCATTTCACATTCTAGCCATTTTATATATGACATTGTATAACATGAAGTGTTTTATATATAAGCATCACGTAACACAGTTTCATTGACAGAAATATTCAGATTTATATTCATCTCATCCTTGGATATTTGTTAATTTTCAGAATTCACATTTTCTGAGTGCTGAAGAATGCATTATGGCAGCGGATTTCCAAAACAAACACACCAACCCATGTAAACTGGCGACAGAAGGACACTTCGGCTCCAAGTTTGTCACAGTCGTTGTAACCGGTAATATACTGTTATATATATTCTGTGAATGTTAAATGTTGACTTTGATTCAGATTTATTTTGAAATGAAACACTCAAGAAAAATATTCATAGGTACATATACTGTTACAGTAAAATGTAAGGATTTTCATTTCAATGTAGTACCTGGCACATCCTTAAATGACCATAGCTGTTAATAGGATGTAAAACACAAACGAACAAAACATGTGATTATGGTGTATGGATATTTGTTTTGAGAGGTTATTCAGGGACTATTATCGTGTAAGAAATGACATACATCATCATTAGGGCTAGATACTTGAATACTGTATTGTTATTCCTGAAAAGTTTGGTTGAAAAAGGAAAACAATTTTCTAGATTAATAAAACTTGAATAATCACTGTAGTAAGCAATTTAGATCCAACATAAAATTATCAGGAGACCGAGTTATTCGACTGATGGAGTCCTGATCAGGAAGTTCCATTATACATGAAATGAGAAGCCTACTTGTTTCTATACGTGTGACATATGTAATGTACCAGGCGATGCCACCAATCAGATCCACTTTGAGGGCTACCAGGTATCCAATCAGTGCATGGCGTTGGTGAGAGACGACTGTCTGATACCAACCAAGGACGCACCAGAGTTAGGCTATGTCAAAGAATCGTCAGAAAAGCAGTATGTGCCGGATGTATTTTACAAGGTTAGATTTTCTCTATTAACATTGCCTTGTCAACCAAGCCAATTGCAATGACAGACATCCGTAATGACATAATAATGATATTGTTCGATATAATGGAAAATTGCTTGCAGAATGCTATGCTACTTTTTAAAAAAACACTCTATGATACATGTATAAGTAATAAGTTTGTAGTTTCTACAACCCTTTATAACTTTATGCTTCAAGTCAAAATTTGTTTTATTTTCCCATTTTAAATACAATTGCCAATGCAGCAGTGCATCAATTAAACACACAGTTATAAATATTATTGCTACTTTTACTTTCATTTTTCATTTTTTATTTAATCCTGTTATTTTGAATTTAAATTCAATTATTTGCAGCATCAATTGTAATACTGGTAGATTCAGCTAGAAGTTGTGAAACATTATCTTTGATTTCATATTAAAGTATCAATATTGCAAAAATTCAATATTATTGTGCTGTTTGCTACAACATTGTATCACATTTTGCAACCTGTTTTTCTGGAAATATGTAGTTTCTATTTCATTTCCTTTACATTACGTCTCACCAGATAAAAGACAGTTATGGCAACGAAATAACGCAGCTGGCCCGTCCCTTACCTGTGGAGTATCTACTTGTTGACCTGCCAGCAGCCTTCCCGCTCGAAGCACAATATACATTCAAGTCCCATCTACATACCGAGATAAAACCGTTCCCTGCCTCCAACAGAGATCAACTAGGGGAAGCTCAGGTAATATATACGCTACAATATAGACCAGCTAGGTGAAACACAGGTTACATACATACACTGCATGTTTCTGACACGTAGCTGGCACATTCTGTTTCGGAATCAAATGATATACAAGATATTGAACACTGACTCAATTTCAAAATCTGTTGGAACACAAAACCAAAACCAATGTTCATTTCATCTAAAATCTCTGAATTAAATATTCTTTCATTTAAAATGTGTTTAACTGTCAAGAGCTAAATGTTTTTGTCTATATGTAGCAAGAACATTTCACTTGCATTAACGATGCTTGTAAGAAATAAAATAGAGATGCTATTATTATTTCAAGCTGTTTTTATTGGAATATTTTCAAATTATCATTATATATTTCAGGACTTCAATGCCCTTGTGAGCTACATTCAGCAGTTCCCTCCCAACCGATTCCTGGAAGCAATGTCCGGCTTTCATATCCTGGTTTTCCTTGGCACCTCTGACATGTTACCAGTACAGGTGTGTTAGATATATATGAACTAGACCAAACTAAAATTGTCGGAGATTTTTTTTTTTTCATTTTCTGTCCTTCAATTCCATGGAAAGCAATATGAAACTTTTCATGGTTTCCTCTCAGTTCTCTTGACGGATAGTGTTTTTGGAGGGTGAATGTCTGTACAAAACTGATATTGCTGGATTTTAACTTTTTCAACGCCAAAATGTTTCTTAATTTGGTTGAAACGCCCAACTATTGCTCTCATCATATGTTTAACCATCCCGTTTAAAAAATGTTCTCATAACCCATAAGTGAGGAAACCCTGCTTGAAAAGTAGTCCTACTGTATCGGTAAAAAGTCACCGGTGTATACATTTTTTTTCTTACAGGAGAAAATTGGAATGCTATTAGATGCTGTCAGACTGAATGATGAGAAACTTGCTTCTGATTTCAAAAAGACAGAAGAATGGGCAACTGTAGAGGAGATGATGGCTGCTCACGGTAAGTCAGCTTAAGAATTCCCTAATAGTAGAGAGTCTGTCTATCTTTCCACTGTATATAGGCTTTCAGATTTTATCTCCTGTTAAGTTTTGTTATTTTTCCTCAATATCTGTTAAAGAACAATTTTAAGTTCTAGGACTTTTTTGGGAGTCAGAACAATTTGAAATCATTCTCAGTAGTATTACAGAGAAGGGTTACCTGGTAACATTACAAATAGCATGACCAGTGGCCCAGCATTTCAAGCTTCCTCTTATAACCAAGAGGTCTGGGGTTCAAATTCTCATAGTGAAGATGTATTTGTGGAAAAGGAAATTGTAATATATTTCTTTCATACCCCAGTATATAATATTTTGAAAAAGTGTACGGGCACAAATTAGAAAAATGTCAAACAAATTGTGATTATCTCCCATCATCAATACTGTTTCTGTATGTATACATAAAAAATATATACTGGATGAAAAAGTAAGAAAGAATTGGCTGATATGTAATGAATAAAAACAGTTCTTAAAAAAACCCACAAGATTTTTAGGGATGAACAGCCCTGTTTAATTTTTTGCATAAAGACATGAATGGGATTATATTTCAACAATGTGTATACAAATTGATTAGAGGAAAAAGTCTCAATATGTCTGGAATCAACTACGAACAATGGTGTCAGAGTTAAATGATGCTGGAATGTTACAAGCTGCTGTTATTATGAGATATACTAACAAACCATTTTCATCTGTTCCAGAAACGTCTCCAGGTCTCTCCAGGGAAAGGTCGTATGTAGGACCCGGAGCATCTCCCCTTCCACCCATCGGTGCCTCCGGTGGGACGTCTTGGACATGTGCACACTGCACATTTATAAACTCTTCGGACAAAAGTGCCTGTGATATGTGTTCGTTACCCAAGTAATAGCATTGTGTTTGGCCGCTATCAAAATAACAACACATAATGATTGAATATTATTTATATTTACTTACAAGACAGAAAAGGAAAGTCTTTTGCTGGACTGTGTACATTGGATTGGCTGTTTCACCCAACATGATCACTTATGCATGTATCCTACTCAACTTGTTGAAGCATATAAGATGCCTTGAGTGCTTTGTTATGAATATATTTAGAGCCGTTTAAAGCTAATTTTTTACAAATGAATGAATGTTTTGTGTTCAAATCCATGGATTAATCATTCCAACCTTCAGATGAGCAAACCATTAGTTCTTACTTTTTGTGGTCTTACATATGCCCTTGTATATCCCAACATGTTTATCTTTTAACGGTCAAAGCATCATATTTTGTCACAATACCTGTGATTCATCAAGGAAAGTTAGTCTATGAATAATTGTTAAGTATCAGCCAAAATTAATTCCCCTTTCCTCCTGTAAAACTGTTTGGATATCTGTACTGGTTGGGTACCACAAACTGTAAAGAGTTAACCCTTTCACCACTGTAGAGCATAATGGACTCATCCAGATCAATGAATGGTAGTCTACTAAAGTTACATAGGGGTGAAAGGGTTAACACCTTGTTGTAGTTCAACTATTCTTACCGGTATACAGGATTTTTGCATTAAGTATATGTTTTTCAATAGCAACTAAAAGTAAAACTACAGTTTACATGTAAACAATTTTAACTTCATTGGAAGACTAATGGAACAAGATTGAAATCTTACTGGATGAAAAGAAATACAGTATGTTATGCAGATATTGTGTTTAATACTTATCCTTCTGAGATTTTTTATCGTGTACCAAAACGTCTCGGAATAGAAATGTGATATGATCCCATCTCCTATACTTGGAACTAAGTATGATATTGTGAATGTTTTCAGTTTGAAAGATTTCTTTTTCTCCTAGGTAATACACGCACATTCTTGAATTTAAATACTTGTTCATTTATTTTACAACAAATCATCCCCTAAGTATGGGCATTTATAAATATTTGAGATCTATTTCAGATCATTTTAAACAGCAGATAATTCTTGTTGAGAATTTGAAAATTAGATATTCATTTAGTTGAACCCCTGACATTTTATATACTGTACTCATACATGTTTCATTGAGGGCTAAGTCTGCCATCAGAATTTTCCTTTCTGGTATGATTTATGCTGTACATCAATCGAAAAGTCTGAGCTTAATGGTTTTCATTTGTTTCCATTTGCATAAGTAAACATCACTGTTGTTAGGTGAAGATGTGTATCAGCAAAACTTAGACGTACAGCTTCATCTGTTGCTAACCATTAGGCCAACTGAAAACCATTTGTTGCAGGTATAGATTATAGTAACAGCTCATGCGGCTGATAACTTGAGAAAAACATTTTTTTTTATAACCAGCTCAATTCCAAGGAGCTTGAGCAGCAAGTCATTGATTATGTTTCTGTATGTCAGATATAATTGAAATACGATAACATGCCACAAATGTCGTTATAATTACTTCTCAACCATCGGCGATCAAATACATTGTCAGAGGGATACAAAACACTTTTCAGGAGAAGATATGTATTGATCAGTTATATTTTTTATTCATTTGCTCACATGATTTTGCTCTTTGAATTCTATTTCAAAACCTACCTTGTTTACCTTGTTCATTCATTATCTATATACAATGTGCATCTTGGTTTAGTGGAATGTCATATGCCTCCATACTCGGTTTTTGAGAAACATTTCTGAAAAAAACCCACCAGATTCCAGGCTGACTGAAAGAGAAATATAAATGTAACTTCAGACTGGTAAGGTCTGGTAAAATTGTTTTTAGTTATCTGTTTGTTAGTTTTATCAGAAACACTACAAGGATTATGTAGGTCAGGTTGAAATAGCATTAAAGTTAAGTTGAAGGTGTTCGATGTTGATTCATGTTCTACTGTATAAGAAGGTAGAAAGCCCCAACAAACAATACAATGTTATTATATATCTTCCGTAAAATGTAATAATATCTTAGGTGAGTAAAGGGAGGAGGCATGGATTTGACCTTGCCAGCTCCCACCCTTCCTATAACAAGACTTAATCCATGAGAGGCAGATTTTGACCTCCACAGTTCTTGCCGTTCCTAACACAACTAAATTTGAGACACTATATTTTGACCTCAGGATTCAACTCACTTTTTAACACAACTGAAACAGGAGGGTCATTCTTAATGTGAATAAATCCAATCCCAGATGTGCCACTGATAATATTGTATTACAATTTGGCATATTATATTGATTGCCATGGAAGCTAAAATGTACATACTGTAGTTATAAATACATCTAAACCAATCATCGGTGGTTTCACAGGGAAAATGTGTACATACCTCACAGAATGTGTTGTTTGAATTTTGTACTTGCTTTTGTCGGAACTACTGTTTTGTAAGGTACATTGCTATAAATGTAGGTAAACATACATGTTATAAACATGCTGTTTATGTGATATATAGGAGTGCTCATAGTTGTTTTCTGTAACCCTGATTTACTGTAAGAAATGCTGGTATGCTCCTTAACAGGAACATACCTAATGTTACCCTCTTATCTGCTCAAATTGAGTAGAAACATCTGCTATATACTGTAGATCACTTTATTTTCGAGAGATTAACTTTTGCATTAATTCACGATTAGACTCATTTGCATATTAAAATTCTCTAGCGAATTTAAATCCATTTGTAATTTCCATTTTATTGAAGTTTTATTTCTCAATTGTGAATTCAAGAATTTACAAATAAAAATTAGGTAAAAAACATAAGGTATAGTCCACCAAATGAAAGTAAACACGATAAATAATGTTATTTGCAGTAACAGATGTATGTAATAATGTATATAAAAACGCTAACGACGTGGTATTTTGGTGCAAAGTTCTACTTCATATTCATATAGTGCTACTTTTTGTTAAGACCACATGTGTACAGCAACTATCTTCTGTAAAACTGGGGGAAATATTTTATGTGATCAATGGCTCAATGCATAGTACATTCATTAAGGGTTGACTTATGCCAGATATGTAAGCTGCTATGAAAAAAGCACTTATCTTTTTTATTCCCCCACGTAAATATTTATGAAAGCAAGCATTTTCAAACCATGAATATATATTGCTTGTTTCTACCTTAAATAAAAAAAGTTTTGAAAGCGTTTTCAAGCAGTAGATGTGATCTGAGTACACAAAACACTTCGATTGGTTCCCCATTTTCTCCTACAACATAGATACTATGTTAACGTTGCCTAAGTTAGAAAGCTTGATTTATGTACTATGTGTATGTACTGAATAATAGTATGTATGGTACTTTTGTATACATGCAGTAGAAATAAAACATTCTTGTCTGGCATCTATAAGGTTTGTTTAATTCACTACTCTGCCAATCAATCGAGAACCTTGGGCACTTTCCGTAAACTATAACTCGTTTTGGCAAAGTGTCGCTGGTTCCAGATTGCTCTACATGTTTAACAATTGTTTCCTGGATACAAACAATGTCTGCTTACATGCTATCACTATTCTTACCTTGTAAAATGTTGGTGGTGAACCTCTGGCGATGAGTTAAGTTTACTTAAGGCTGTATGCCACCTTACTGTGGTATAAATCTCGGTTCCAAAGAGTTCCAACTAAAAAACAAAAAAGGTTTCATTATGAAAAGTAAGATGACAATTGTAAAGGAATTGATGTTACACCTAATTTTTCAATGCACATAAAAACATGCATTGATCTCAATTGGGCAGTTTTGAATAATTAGCTTTTTGGTGATTGGACAGGATCTTAAAATATAAGTTTCAGCACAATACTGGATATACACGTAAACAGAGACCTTTATATTATTAATTATATGTCTTTGATGTAAGATGTTTGGTAGCAGGAATGAAGCTTTTTGTTATGGGAAAGAAATGCTATTAAAATAGAATTGCTACCTTATGGATATGTATGGATATAAAACAATAACAATATTACAGAGGTGGATATGAGAAGCAACTATTACTTTGAGATGAAAATAATATTGAAATGAGGGGATACATACGAATACAAGTATGGTTGATACAGAAAAATGCTTGAGAAAGAGCTTTAGTACAAGATGGATATATGATCAAAGTACTGAAAGTACTCCAACACATTACTACACATTATTTCTTGATGTAATATTTTCATAGATTTATAGCGATATTTATACAACTTCTTTTTTGGAGTTCTGAACAGTTAATCATGAAATGAATATCACAGAGATATGCATGAAAAAGACCTTTTGCTTTGAGATGAATACATGATCAAAGTACTGAAAGTACTCAAACACTATCAAGAAGGAATATAACACAATATTTGATTCAATTAAGATGAAGAATATATAAACTCACTGGAGTTCTGAACGATTAACCACAAAATGTGATAACACTATGAATTAAAATGTTATTGGAAATCACCACTAGGGGAGTATGTATGCAAGAGCATTTTCCACGTTTTGCCACACAGATAGAATTAGCGATATCCTGGACACCTACGGTATCTATATCTATCTATTTGTTATACTCCACAGAGAATGTCTTTAATATGAAGATGTTAAAACAATATGGACTTTAGAAGATTTAATAAGAACAAACCGCTGCTAAGAGAAACAAAAAAGATATTACAGAAATATACATGTAACATCAACCAAGCAAGAAGGGAAGTTGTAGCTGAAGACCGCACTGGCTGAAGACTCTCTGTGAAGGCTGACATTCACCTAGGTGATAAAAGGAGAGTAGATCATTGGGAAGAGAGGAGAGAGTCCATAATACAGCCAATCGTACAATACAGTATGCCGCTCCAAAAGTGGACTGCATTGTCGCCACAAGCGCTGTAACACAACTTACTAATCATTGGCGCACATTCAAATGTCTTCGTAGTTTGTAAGGATAACATCTACTAATGATGGGACACAGTCCTTCACAAAACCAGTGGCTTCTGTATTTACTGCGGACAAGGAGTTGCCCTCTCTCTACCTGTTAGCCCCCTATATGTGTTGGTCAGACAGACTAATACCAACAACATTGGAAAACACTTGTAGTGAGACGTTTACTGATTGCTTAAGGGATTTGCTTCATCGCAAAACCAAGGTAATATAAAAACGGTGTCACAGATAAGAGGACAGGACCAATCAAATTGCAATCCTCCTTAAATGTCATAACCTGGACACTGCACGATGTACTATGACATTCCTTCATTCACATTTTTCTGACATCATGCTAATCAGAGGTGCCTAGAGAGTATCACCGAAAAGTGTAGGTAGGTGACAACAAAAAAGATAGAGGTCCTTAGTGTTGCATAAAGACAGCAGACCAGTTATAGTAATCTCATTTTCCCCTTCACAAGAAAACCGCATATTCTGCAGCGTTACAATAGCTGCTTTACTATCCATACATTGGTATATAGCGGGTTTATTTTAAAGTTAGTAACAGTGAACGAGTGCAACACGTTTCCAGTATAGTATAAAACACAAATGGTTGATCTTGTGTCGACCATAGTCCGCCAAATGGACAGGAGAGAAGAACAAGTCCGGCACATGTCCACCGCCACCTGCATATCGGTTGGATCATATTAAGCAAAACTCTTCATTTAAGTTTGTTTCTATTTTTCTTGTTTTTTTATTCGTGGGTTACGTCCCTGCAACAGCTACATGTAAGGTTATATGAAGAAAAACATTCACCGAACAACAAGAGAATACAGCGATGGCAACAAAACCATAATTCTAAGAACAAAATCTAGAGCTACTCAAATGCCCCTTTAAAAGTGTCATCATACTGAAATGTCAAAATCTGGACAGTGCAGCATGACCAGGCTAACCAGTCCTTATTGACACCCATTTAATGTTATAAGTAAATCATAGAGCAGTCTATAACGATTTTAAGGCTTCTTTCGGGAGACAGAAGCCATTAACTTTCCTCGCTTGGACGAACGCGGAGCAACACTAAGGCCAACGGCGAGGAATTGCAAAATAAGGTGATCGGAAACAGAAAAGTAGTCAGAAAAGAGAGGAAATTTAACGAACACAGATGTTACAACAGGTGCAGCATTGTAAATCTGGAATCCTTTCATTTCATCTCTTGGACTGTTTTTGGATAATATGATTGCTATGGTGTTCCCAAGGAGGTGATATAAAAGAAAATCTCCACTTCTGCAGGGGTTCCTACATTAGCCGCCTCTTTCAACATGCACTGGGTAACAGCAGGTTTACACTTTTTCTAAATCCCCAACCTGCAGGGGTGCATCGTTTTCATTCAATTGAACAGTTACGTTTATGTATCATATACAACTAGCTGTCAGGTTATATACATAATTAAAATACCGCTGAAATGCGTCATGTTGATAAAAAAAAATAAAAAAATGGCGTCGGTACTTCTGGTCATGTGTCATAGTTTCTGAGGTGGAATAGTGCAATGTGCTAATATTTCGATCATTCATTTTATTGAAATCATAATTCGTCAAATAAAGCCTTAACATTTTGAGTATTAAAGCATATTGATCGATTTCTCACTAAAATATAACTGTTTACTCTTTCAACCTATATTTTCACCCGAACGCATCCGTAATGTGTTCACAGCAATATCAAAACTTTCAATCGCACAGTTATCACTTATCCCTTTGAAATTAAAATGCTATTATAACTGTTATTTATTTTATATAATCAGGTGGTTAACCAGAGTGACATTGAAGCATGCACAGTGTTGACTTAGTTTTAGGACTCGTAACATAACGCACGTGTACCTATATATTGACACTGCTGTGTATGTTTGGTTAAACCAAGCAAACCATAGCGTCCATACGTTAAATACATTAAAAGCAAATGATATCCAAGGATGATAGAGCTACTGAAATGCCTCTTTAAAAGCGTCATCTCACTGAAATGTCAAAATCTGGACAGAGCAGCATGACCAGGCTAACCAGTCCTTATTGACACCCACTTAATGTTATAAGTAAATCATAGAGCAGTATATAACGATTTAAGGCTTCATTCGGGAGACAGAATCCATTGACTTTCCTCGCTTGGACAAACGCGGAGTAACACCAAGGCTAACAGCGAGGAATTTTACTTAAATAATACAAATGTGAATAAAGGACATTAACGAGTTTCCTTTTCATACGAGATAGATTTAAAGAAGTTATATTTGTAGGGCCCTGCCTACAATCATATGATAAATAAGATAATTATAAATACGCTTCTAAAAATCAAGAGAGTAGTAATGTGTCAACAAAACCGCAAACACTTGTGTAGCTATTGTAGACTTCGGATGATGAATCTTAAAATTGCAAAAAGAACCTGCCAAAATAAACGTATCTTGAATTGATAGTAACCTTCCACGCTGTTTAACATCCATTATCCATATTCAAAATCTATGCTTATAACCGTTGCTATTTATCCAGACTTCACTTCATTTCACAAAAAAACTGTTCAGTGCCATATCGTAATTGTATATATTCAAGAAATTGCTTTTATCGATCCTTTTCAAGCTGAATATTCACAAACCCATTTGTCCTTATCAACAATGAAAGTCAACATTTTTTCCTCATTTTTGTTATGATATCGCTACATATCAATCGTTTAGTAAAAACGTTATCCTGAAATTACACTTCCTTTTTTTATGATACACTATACTCCGCATGCAGTCAGGTGATATCAAGAACATTGTGATATTAACATTCTGCTCACGTGCATTGTCTCTCAGAACCCAGCTACTTTCAGATGAACGGTTCAGCACTATTCACCTGCTTTTGAAGTACATGTTTATTCCATCATCCCATATTGACTCAATAATTTACATTGCAAACAAAATGTTTACTCGATACAAAGGGGTATTGAGTGGACAATGAAGTAATGCAGTGAACGCAATTTGATATACAACTTCTTTATATCGCTAAATGTGTATAATTATAACGTTCCGGCGTTTACTTATCGACAACTATCAATAATTTTAGTTTTGTCCCTGGGTACGTTTTAAGTAAAACAATCGAAAAGACTTTCCATTGTTCTATTGTCAATTTTTTAAAGTACTTTACACGATTGGTGATGGTTGGTACACCGAACATATGTTTGCATTTAAAATAAGATCGATAAATGGAATCAATTTCTATTATGTTCTCGTAGAAGGAGTGTATATAACAAGTAATTTTAGAAGTGACCATTATACTTGTAGTATATATTATTTTTGACAATAAGGGTCCCATTCATATTGCAATCTTGATAATTTCTAGTTCTTGTAGCTGATATTATTTTTGAGAATTAGGGGACACAATTATGTCAGTTTCGGATTGCGATCGTTATCATTCCTTACTCTTAACTGTTTCACCCCTATGTAACTGTAGTAGACT